AAAGTTTCTTTGTTTGGAAATGCAAAAATCTTCAATAAAAAGCTCTGAAGATTTACATAGTTTCCAGACGATTACGTAGATGTTTTCATGCTGCAATTTGTAAAACATTTCATAAAATCTGTTGAAACATTTGAAAAAATCGAAAAAAAGAATCTGTTTTCAACGAATTTTAAATCATATTCTGAGTCAAAAAAGTTACATTTTCTACTTTTCCAACTTTGAAATGTTCTTTCTAACGAGAAAATACCAAAATTCCAGAATGAAACTTCTTGAGTCTGTTTTTATTTAATATCACAATCATTACACCAACCATCGAATCTGCTAGTCCAATAAGCTCTATTAACTCGGCTTATAACAGGATCATCGTCAGAGTCATCTGAACCCTCAACTTGACTTTTATCTCAACGATAATTGATTCTTGGATAACTTTTCTGTTTCAGTTAAAGAAGCTGGCAACGAATTAACAACGAAAATGGTCACAACAATGAACTTTATCATTTGAGCTATGAACTCGTGTGAATTTGAATTTATTCATAGTTTCATTTTTCCCTGTTACATCAACATTATGCGTTCAATTTAATAAGAGAAACATTTAAATACAATTTCCATACAAACCACCAGAAAATGATACTTTTTTGGCTGAAATTTCACTCTTTTGTGCATGAATAATAAAAATGGATAAACTTTTTTACGAAACATTGAGAAACATTTTACACTCAAATCACTCGAGATTCAATAATTGAAGACTGAATTGATAAACAGATTGACTCTTGCTATTGAAGTTTTTCAAGTTATCAGCCTTTAATAAACTTAGCAACATTGAAAAGTAAACAGGAAAATATTTCCAAACTAAATGCTCTTGAATATCCAGTTAAATCCCAGTCAATAATCCAACCTTGATTGTTAGTTGAAGTGAAAGTAAAATGGTAAATTGAAAGTGAAACAATCGATAAACACGAAAACACGATAAGGTGAACAATTTGCTCGAAGCAAACCATTAATTGTCTCATCTTAAACTTGATCCAAGTTACACTAATTGTGATTACAAGTTTGTTACTCGACTCAATTAACTCTAATCATTATTGAACCCAAATTGTAGTTGATGAAAAACTGCACTAAACCAAATGAGTTATTTAATAGCTACTGACAAGTTAATGGTGATAATCATGTTTAACATTAAAAATGGAGCCAAAAATTATTCTCATAACACTGATTTTCAGGGGAGGGAAAAAAGGGTTCAGTGCAAAGGAAGGCGATGATAACCATAATCTAGATTGCAATTTAATACCAATGTTTACATGATGATTATACAATTTATATTTTGCTTTAATAACTTCAACTGTTTACACAGACCTGAACATCATTAGCAACATGAACAAACGGCAATCATGTTAATAGTTGGGAATGCCAAGCCAACCTTACAATATCAAAATTCATTTGTTTATCTTCCAACCTCATCTTTATCCTTCCCCATTCACCAAGCATCCTCATCATGTTTACCAAACCTCATGATTCTTAGTAATTTATTGTTTAATCAAGTCACGATCATGTGACATTAAAAATAATAATAACAAAACATGAACCTTCAGGGAATGGAAAGAGACAAATGAATGAAAAAAAACAAGAAGAAGAAGATGATGAGAGATGATTCTGAATCTTCTCAGAGCTTAATTAATTTTCCACAAAAGTGATTCTTTTATTTGAAAAAAAACTCAAAAGTAAAAGAGTTAATAACATCTCATAATTATCTTTTAACTCCCAGTCACTCCCAGTTTAGTTGGCAATGTTAATGCTCTTTCTTGCTCATTCCCGGGTTCAATCTTTTTATCATCCAACAAGGCTAAGATTATGATCCTGTAATCAAACTCACAGGTAAAAGCAAACAAGAAGGAAAAAAAGATTAAGTAACTTGAAAATGAAAAAAACAAAAGTTTATATAAATAAAACATTATAAATACGGTATACAAAAAGCACCTTTTCATCCTCATCTTTTTCCCATCTTCCGCCATCTTCATTCCCTCCTCTAATTTCAATGGAAACATTTTATTCAGATTTATCATACCTTTGAGGCAATCTTAATGAAGAAGAATGCAACTTTACGTTTCCTTTTATTTTCAACTTTTCCCTTTGAGTTACCTTTTTTTGGGTTTCTTGCTTTTCACAATCATCGTTTTTCCTTCTCAATTTCAAATGCTAATTCTCATTAAATTAACACTCGGCTTCAGTCTTGTATTTGCATCTTTAATTAACAAAAAAATTGAGCAAAATTGTTGATTATAACCGCAAGCTCAACCTTTGGTTGAACCGACGAACTTGCGTCTGGGAACTTGTTCAAATCAAATGCTGTTGAATATGTGATAAATATAATAAATGAAAAGTGTCAATTTATTGGTTCTCAATGAGTCTCCAGCAACGATCCAAGTCGATATGCGAGAATCAAATATGTATAGTGTAAGTCTCAAAATAGCTGTAATTGTTGATTGATATACATTTTTCGCGGATAATTTTAAGCTGAATACACGAGTTTATATAATTATCAGTGATTTTATTAAACTGGCTCAGGTAATCTAGAGCTGATTCAGATTGAAGTTTGAAAATTATATTATACCGATAAATACAGGGCGTTTCAGCTAATTTTCCTGTTGCAAAACGCTATTACTCTGCACTGGAGTGCCCTTGTGGCTAAATATTTTGAGTATGGAAATTTCAGCGATACTCATTCATCATATTTCAAAATCAAGGTCATTCAAGGTCATTGCGTTATTTGACCTTCAACTGATATTTAAACTGTTATGTTGATCAATTGGTTTTGCTAAAAGCTCATTTATCTTTACAAAGGTGTAAGCTACTAGCTTGTAGCAAAATCAACCAATCTGAAAAATTTTGCACTCTCAGAAAATGACCTCTAAATATCAGTTGAAGGTCAAATAACACAATGACCTTGATCTTGAAATATGACAATTGATTATCGCTGAAATTTCCATACACAAAATATTTAGCCTCAAGGTCAATCCAGTGCTGTTTTACAACAGGAAAATTAGCTGAAATGTCCATGTAGTTATGTCAGACCGAAAGTCCTGAACGTGATGATAGGAGAGTTTCAATACAATGATACGATTTGATGTCGATTCCGTCATAAAATAAATCCTTAATCAGAATTCAATTCTATTAGTTTGAATTTTGAGTTTGAAATTCGCCTTTTCAAAGCACCAAAATTATCTGCTTTCCAATCTTTGGAATAGAATTTTGCTTCAAGTGTGGAAGCCCAGAATCTTTCGGTCGATCGCCATTGGGCACGATTGGTGGGTTTTGGTCCTGAACGTAATTAATTCCAAATTTATAAAAAGTATCCAACGTTTCTTTCGCATAATCTAAGCCATCTCGTCAGAACAGATATTTGTCGTTTTCGTAGACATTTACAGGGTACAATCTTTTGTATACAATTGGGTCTATAAATCGCCGAGTTCATAACGCAGTTCGGCGTCATTCACATTTCCAAGAATCTATTTTGATGAATTTCCTGAATTTCAAGTTGCAAATTCGTGAAATGATGAACAGAAGGAATCATGAAAAGTTGATTGAACAAGAATCATTAGCCTTTTCATTTTAATGCAATAAATAATGAAACTGTTAACCCTTTTCTAGTCAAATTGAAATTACTTTTCTAATCCAAATGATATTAAATATAGATTAACTGAACAATAATCTTGAGGATTTGCAATCTAATCGGCTTATATAAATGACAATGAAGAGATTACAATTGAAAGTGTAAATATTTAACTAAATGTTTTACTCATTTCGGGTTCAGATGAAATGGATGTAAAAAGAGGGAAGAAAAGGTCACATTAATTGTTAATGATTAACATTACATTTTATAACAATTGATTGAAGCGCTTATCAAATTAAAATTAACAAATTACTTTTTGCTTTTGTCTTCATTCAGGCAAAGGTTAATCTAATATTGGACATTGAGTGAAGGATGATGAGGCTCAAGTAATGATTGAAATGAGTTTCAGTAAATGTGAGTGTAAATAAATCTGTAAGTGAATAAAGTTAATTTAAATAATGAAGCATGATGTAGCATGATAATGACAAACAATTTTGTTCCTTGATTCAATAATAATGATAATCTGAGAATAATTGTTATCTATTTGTTCAAGTTGATTTGAGTAAACAGAGAAATGTTGGTGAATGAGGAAAAAAAAGATCTGTAATAAAAGATGAAAATATAAATGAATTTATTGGAAAGTAAATAATATTTCAGTTAATCTAAAAGGTTATTCAATGATTGTGATTTAGGGGCAATCACAGGGAATATTAATTAATGATAGTCAATCAGCTAATGAATAAATTTTGAGCAACATTTTTTTGATTAATTGATTTACAACTGGTAACAAAGGGAAAAACCAGGAAACGCACAAAAGGCTTGTGTTTTGGGTTACATTGGGTTTACAAAGGGAAATGTTGAAAGTGACTTTTGATAAAAACATTTATATAACATGATTGAGAAGATAATCTTTATTAATGAATTACTTTCTAGTTCCTGTCTCATGACTATTTATTGATTTTAACCCTGACCTTTGAATCAATTAATTAATTAAACATGATTAATTGATGGTGTGAAAAAGGGAGGAAAAAGGATCAACATTTTAACCCAAAAAGCAAAGTCAATGAGTCGACCCATAAGTCAACCTAAAAGTCAACCTAAAGACTCTACTCATTGGGTCACCAAAAGCACAAAAGGTTGGCCTGAAAAGTCAATCTCTGTGAGTTAACCTAAAGTCAACCTAAAGTCAACTTGAGATTTGAAAGATTGAAATGAAATTGAAATTTAAGGACAAAATTTGATTTCTAAATGATTTATTAACCATTTCACTCATTGAAATCATCAAGAGTAATTGTGAATGCTGGATTTTTTTTGCTGGTTGATGCTTAATTGAAGGCAAAAATGTCATTTTTTCCCCTTACTGTTGATGATAATTACAATTGGAAACAATTCATTTGGAAATGAATGGAATGAATGTTAATTAATGTTATTTAAAAAACAACTCGTACAATAATAGAAGTCAGTTTAATGAGAATTTATGAGATTTTTCTTTAACATTCATTCATTTTCATTCTCAACATTGTGATCCATTTAATCAAAGTAATTAGTTTTGAACAGCTAACAGAGCAAAGTATTAATAAAACATGGTGTCAGTAAAATGTCTTAATGATAATTAGACTGCCGATGAGTTAGAAAAATATCTTTCAGAAGTTTTCAGTTCACAGCAGGGAATCAGATAAATCAGCTTATTTATACTTGTACTTCTTTGTACTTATAAAGTTGAAGATCATGGACAGATCCAACAATGGTCAGTCTTAAATTGGCCACCAATAATATCACTGTGGTTCCATCAGTCATTGAAATTTTGAGGATCCATTTTAATTGCCTATCATGAGCCTTGATTCAATTTTCATGTCCAAATGAAGCTTTGTGTTGATGTGTCTAAAGTCCATTGAGATTCCAACTGGTCATCTGCAAATATAAAGCAATAAGATTTTTATTAATCATTTCATTTCTTTTTGATATTCACCATCAACTTTGATCTTCGCATAAAAGGTTAATATTTTCACTTTGTAACTGAGCTATTAATCACTGTGTTGGTCATCTTATTAAGTAAATTATGTATATTGTAACAATTGTACGCTTCTGTCGTTGAGTGTCATTGAGTTGCCTAGTGTTATTAACTTCAATGTGTTCCTATGTAAATGAATTGAATAAGTCAAATATTGAAAATTGTCAACTTCAAGTGATCATCTGATTATATTCAATTGAGATTCAACTTTTCTCTTGTTTCCTAATGATGGTTACGATGGTGCATTCATCGATTGTTACAGATATACATACAAATATGTGTGTGCATCTTTAAGTTTCAATGAGATGGGGAAATGGCAAAAATATCAAAACTATAAGTTAAAGTTAATACAGAAAGATGAAGATACGATTTTTTGGTTCAAATTTTGGGTTCCCTTTTCTATTGTATATTAACATCATTATTGTACTGGAAAGATGAACACTTCTCATCATCATCATCGTCTTTATTCATCCTTTTGAAAAGTGTAAAACCATAAATCCTGTGTTGATAATAGACAAGTTAAAAGGTCTTCAGTTTTGAATCAAATTTGAGTTACATAAAGCAGAAAAAAAAGAAGGATAAAGAATAAGATTCTGACTTTGACTTGACTTGAAATGTATGACTTACTTACCCAAAACTGTGAATGATGATGATTATGGTTGAGCATGGTGATGAGTTAAAGATGATAATAGCAAGACCGATAGAAGAGGAAAAAGGATTATAACACTTTTTATTGTTCAATTGGTTCAATTATTGAAAAATTTTCACCAAAAAAAAGAGTCTTTTGAATGCATTGTAAATAAAATTTGAAAAATTGTTTTAATTTCCCTCACTAATGGTGTTAGTGGCGCTTTTTTTATCCAATCTAATCTTAACCCGCCATAATTTCACAGCTGATTTCCAGTGATTAAAGTTGCCATGCTTTAGAGTTATTTTAATCTTGTTTGTGTTTCAAAATTAACTGATTTTTATTTAAAGGGTGTAACAAACAAAACTGTCTGAGCTCTAGAGGGTGACTGCGCCCATTTCTGGAACTGAGCTGCGTAATTTTGGGGGGTAAAGATTAGATCGGCTACATAAAGCGCCTCTAACTGTGTTTGAGTGGGAGATTTCAACAGTTTTTCATATTTAATTTACAATGTCTTCCTAAAGACATTTTTTTTTGGTGAAGTATTGTAAATTTTTGTACGCATATGATGTATATAACGGGTTGTCAATCGGTGATTATCTTCAATCGGCCTCGCCGAATAGGTC